CAGACAACTCTTCGCCTTTCCGGAAATTTTCCCACGAGTTCCACTCATATTTAAAGAGTGTTTATGTGGGATGAAATTTAATTTGATTCAAGATCAGTTTACTCCAGATTCATTTCCTCTCATACGAATCCAATAATGTGCATGAGAACCCTAATCATACCTGAGACTGAGCTTCTACTTTTTGCAGTACCGCTGTGACATCATACGACGATCTGCTGGAGGCATTGACAGAAGGTCGTCAATTGGTATTGACTGCGATAATCACCGACTGCGAGCATCCCCTGCCGCCCGAAGTTTCAGTCGCCGAGTCCGGATCGACCTACTATCAGTACTACGTCCTCTCAGGTTCGAATTCTCTCGTCATGCCGCTTCATTCCTGCAAATGGCTTAAGAATTGCAATGGCTCCTTCGGTCGTAGGAGAGACGCTCGTATTGGAATGGCCTGGCTTGTCCATCACCGATGATGGGGAAGCGTCGATTTACATGGTGGTCAGGACAGCCATTTCTCAGGATGGAGCCGCAATTATTACTGTCAATGGCTTTAATAGCTTGACCTGGGAGGATGAATATCCCTATCCTGAAGGATTTCAGTGCGTCCTCGGAGAAAGCGTCAACGTTTACTATGCTTCAGGTAAATATCCGATGCCCTGAGGGTATCACTCCACGCTTTGCTTCTTCTCTCTTCTGGAAAGTATAATTTTTCGACTCATGATTGGCTATTGAGGAAAGAAGACAAATAATGTCAGTTTCACTCACGGATTTCAGTCCGAGAGAGTTTCAAATACAATTCAATCGGTCTCGTTCCGATAGAAGCCTGATGTTCGACCTAGCATTCGTTGTCTTTGCATCTTGCAGGCGACGCAATCGACACCTTAGGGTCATACGACGAAGTGGAGGCTGCCTTCATGGAGGGGAAGGACCTTCAGGCCTCTGTGGATATCACCTCGTGCTCCGGCACCGTTCCAGACGGAATCTTGGTGATTCCCCGCTCATGCATTCTTTCGAGGCTCTTATGAGAGCAGCCACCACGCCGTCCTTAATTTAATCTTTATAGATTTGTTGTGATAGTGTTTTAATCTTTATTTTTATCTAATAGTCCAGTAGGCAAGTTTGCCTGTCCTTCTATCGATATCAGCGGACGGTAACTGGGTACGTTGCCTGCATTGCAACAAAAGAAATGTTCACCACGGAACACAAAAAACAATGAAATGCAAAAAAAAGCAACGTTTTTTAAACATGTCACTTACCAGATAGTGTCCGGAAATGCTCTTCGAGCCGTTATCACTTGTTTCGTAACGATCTCACGAGAGACGGTCCTCCATCTTGTGAATCCTTTCTGTAGAAATCCAATGCGATCCAAAAGACTATTAGAACAGTTTAGGGTCTTGGGGTCATCGTGCACTGAAAAATGCTGCGTTCCTGGAGGCGCATTACATCAACGGTTTCTGATTGATTCAGAAAGGGGCAGCCCGGAGCTCTTTCGAAATTGCGTGTCCCATCCGGCTTTTGTACTAATCGAGAAAATTCAGGTTTGGAAAAGTAAGAAACGCCTCACACGGTGAAACGCGTCACAAAGAAAGCATTTCTCATGCGGACACGAAGTTAGGGAACGGAAGCATATTGCATGGCTTCCCGAAGCAGTTAAATAATGGCATCGCGTACCTATTGCACCGAGAAAATCGTCTTGACTATTTCCGCAGCTCATGAGTAGTTTGCGCCCATTTCCTCAAATCCTTCCATATTTTGAGTCACGAAAGCCTGCTCGACATCACGCAAAAGAAGTCCTTTACAAAACCCGAGATTGAAATTTTTTTCTTTCCCCGTTCAGGCCGCTGGAGCCATCATCCTCGCTTGGGCTGATGATGAAATTGGAGAAATGCCAGGACTCCGCTTCTCGCAATCCATCGCTAACCGTAATAAGAATCACATTCGCACCGTGTTCTATCTAAAATTTATTTCCGTCTTTTCTGCACCTCACTCGTCCATCTCATTTCCCATAGAAGCCGGAGACGTCGTCATCCAAGAATTCCTCTTGGGAGAGGACGGCGTGTTGCAGGTCTTGGCCACCGCGTTCAACCCCGTCGATCCGGGCGACGTGCCAGACGTATCAATGTTCGCGTGTGTCATCGGTGACGGGGTCACCTTCACCGCCCCCGCATATAATCGGTGAGTCTCACAGAGTCCCGTCGTCCGAGTGCACGATGAAGTCCCTCATGCATCATCACAGCGCGGAGCTGACGACCTACGCATCGGTGATGGATGCCCAGCTGAGCGGATCGAAGCTCACGGCCGAGATCGACTTCAGTCAATGCGAGGACCCGACAGGCCAACTCGACCTCACCGGTCTCACGACCGGCGCGTACTTCGGATATGTCACGATTCTTGGCTTTGGCAGTGAGTAACCGCTTTTTTTCTCCCGCGTTCCGTTTCCCGCATGCATTTTGGTGATAGGAAAGAGATGCAGCCTCTCTATTTCGATTCGGATGCGTTGAATCTGAATCGGTGGCACCCCCAAATATGGATTTCTGAAGTATAAATATAACATTAAGAACAACCTATTGAACAACCTAGTGAACAACCTAATTTCCCTCATCCGCGTGAGGAAGATCCGCAATTCGCGTCATCCTTCAGAACGCTTACATCGGAGATGAAATGGATCCCGCTGAAACTGCGAGTTGAATTCAATACCCCCAAAAAATAATGGCCTGGACAAACTTCAGACTGCCATACGCCTTCAAAGAGATTTTTTTGCCACTCAAGTAACCTTTGTAAATGACTTCCAGCTAACTCCCAAAGTTATTCGAATAAAACGTTGCGAAATTTTGACGTAGCACTCGGTTTCCCTGCATTCATTAAGAAAGCGCCTCGATTCGAGTGAACGTTTTTGTGCTACCCATGACCATTTGGACTATTTTCGCCTGATAATTACTGAAATGAGTGATTGTGTGAATTTCCTCAATTAATTGCATAGAATACACTTCATGGCATTTTCATTTAATTTTACCGTATTTTCGCAATCCTGGGATCCCGGTAGCTTGAGGACTCAATTGAAACTCGTGCCTGCTTCATTCCCCGAAAATCCCTCCATGCATGTTTCACAGCGACACCAAACACCGTTCCACGCCGGACATTTAATTCTTGCAGTGTAGAATGGGATTTTCATCACAATTTTTTCATTTCAGCCCCCGAAGAGAGGATGTTCGGATCCGGCTTCGGAGTCCACAGCGACATCAACAGCGGCGTGGCCTACGAGACCTTCGCGGCGACCGTCGACACGAGCAACAACGCCCTCGCCTACCCAGGCTACTGGCGGGCCGACGAGAGCGGCACGTGGGGCAACGACTTCGGCGAAGCCGTTTTTGAATGCGCCCTCGGTGCAGGGATCAGGATCTTCGGCGAGGCATAAAGGGAAATAAAATCCGACTGATTCGTTGCTGCACCCATTCATCTAAGCTGTTTTTCATGGAACCACGTTTGCATTCGACAAGGCCCTGCCCTGCCGGAAAAAACCTAAAGAGATCCTCTTCAGGTCTCACGAATTCATTTAAAGTTACACAGCCATGTCTTACGAGGCACACTAACGGCGCGCTTTCGATCTTCACTACGTCACTCCATGCTGCGGGCAGAATCGTATGGTACCACTTTGATCAGGGATACTTCATACTGTAGGACAAATATTTTTGGAAATAGGAATTTCCAGCAAAATTGTAAAAATCAGAAAATGTTTTTCATACAAAGTAACAGGGACAGTTAACTGATTTGGAATCACCTAGTAGTTTAAAATATAACCGTTCTTGGCACGGATGACAAGGTTCAGACGACCCATGATGTCATCGACTGAATTTCGCAAGACCTCCTATGGAATTCGCTCCGATTCTCGGTTCACATATAGCTTGAGAGAATGCAAAGAACGGTGGAAACACTTTGCTCTCCAATATGGACCAAATTGAAAAATTTTTGGAATGCCATCGGCGGAGTAAGAGGGCCATTGGGAAGACGAAATGAAGTCGGGGACATTTGTCGGCAGTCACTCCTTGGTCCGCGGCTTGTGACCGGCGCTGAGCCGGCGCTGGGCCCTGCTGGAAGACCCAGCTGCCTCCATCGAAATATGTCGTGGCCCACGGAACCAGGCAGTCTTCCAGGATGCTTTTCCGGTATACTTCAGCGTTGACCTTCATCTTCTCGGGCACGAAAACGAGCCAAGTGCGGTAATCCCGTCCCAGACCATTACAGAAGCTGCCCTTTAACGCCGAATGGCTTGGAAGGAAGATGGTTCAATTTCCAAGTTGACTTCATAAGAGGTGGAAGTTATGAATGTAAAGGGTAATAAACCATGTCATCCCTCCTCAGACACGGCTTCCTCTTCCTCTTTCTCGGCACGCACATCCGGCGTATAAGAGGAACTTCTCATCTTACACGTAAATAGGAGAGAAAGGATTCTCATTATGAGATTGGGATACTATCATTCCCTAATTAGGAACGGTAGTACTTCCGATCAAAATAATTGGTTACGCGATCGTCATAGGAGCAGAGTTTACTTGGGACGCGTGCAACTTTTTGTTGCTGTTTGGAAATATTCAATTTAAATCCTGGATGATCGCTCGAAATTCCGGACATTTGAACATTCCCGAGGACGTTCATTGAACATTCATTAAGCGTTCCGGTGCTAGTTGGGACTGCGGAAAATGCCCTTGTTCATGGAAACCTCAAAAGCAATGGCAGCGCTGCAAATATGCACAGGAAAAAAATGCGAGGACCACATTTGTTTTCGATCTTTCGTCAACATAATTAATATCCCTACTGAAGCACTGGGTGCAGTAAAAGTATTAGTAAACCAGAATGAAATCTACACATTATCTATACTCGCAGAGTTTCATCCTCCTCTCCCCGGTGGAAAATGATGAGGCGGACACCATACAAAACACGTCGCCGATGAGCATGAATCAGGTGACGAAATTCCAGTGGGAAGTGGACCATTTGCGGCTTAAGATAGAGATGCCATGGCAACATTACCTTTCACTGCGAAAAGTTCCCTTGAAGGACACCCGAATCCGGATCGCAAAGAAATTGGATTTCTCGCCATGCTTGGACACCTCCTCTGCCTCGCGGCCTTCCTCCCGGCCATCCTGGCCCAAGGTCTGATACCTCTTCCGAGATTTCCGTTGAAAATTAAAGGGATAATTTACCTGTTCTTGAAACCTTCTTTCGTATGTGCGACTTCAATCATGTACGACTTTCGCTTTCTTAAAAGACAATCATTCCAAGAAATAGAATTTAAAATGTGTTATTATTGGGGGTAGCTCCCTGCTGAGGATCCAAATACCCCCACAGGTGCTCGATCGGATTCAGATCTTGCCTTTTGGGGTACCCAGGAGAAGTATTTGAAAGCCCCGATTCCTTTTTTTTATTCTGCGATCACACAAGTGGTGTGGCATGTTGTGCCTCTCTGAAAGAATACTCTGAAAAAATATAGGCACTAGGTTTTATAAGGGTAAACGGCGAAATATCACAGGATCATCTTGTTTTGGTATGGTAATAGTATAAACTTATTATCTGTCAACTTACCGTTTGATTATTTATCATGTTGAATAAAAACTATACTAAATACTGTTTGAGAATATGAATAATTTCAAGTTCGGCATACAACTATATAAGAATCCAATAATATTTTAAAATAAATTCAATGCAGAAAAGTACATTACGTGCGTAGAGATCCACAAGAGTACTTATTAATTGCAGCATTTGAGAGAATATCTATTAAATATATCATCCGATATCATCATGCTACAATCGCCGATTTGTGTGTTCTTGTGCCTGCCAGGAGGATCCCTGGAGACGTTCGATGATCTCGTCGCAGCTCTTCGGGCTGGCCATCGCGTTGCTGCCAATTTCGACACCAGTTTGTGCGAAGATGCCACTGTTCCCGAGCCCGTCGTGAGTGCTAAGTATTTGATATCAAATTTGATATGTCGTATAACACCTCCCATGAGGATATCCCTCGTACCAAGATATTGGAAAGGAAGGAATATCTAGAAGATTCACTTTCAGCCAAATGTCAACTCCCTTCCTCCACATCCCACAATAACAGGAAAATCTCGAAAATACCTAGAACTGATTTCGCACGGAGTCAGCACGCGACGTAAATCAGTATTTTCGGACTTGACAGGAAATAGAAAGCTATCTATCTTAAACCTTTCACCATGCGTTTCGGTTGCTTGTACTCACGTTGACTTGAGTGAAATGGTGCGAAATAGATGTGGAAAGGAAATGGAAATCTTAAGGAGTTTTAAACTGCGTGTTATATGAGTGTAGAAGGGAGAGGAATACGAAGGACTGAGATACCGGGAGTGACGCCAATGAGGACACGTGTAGACATGGTCAGGAAACGTATGGGCAGGGAAAGGCGATGATGAAGGGAGGAAAGGGGAAGATTAGCAAATGGGCGTTACCGTTCTTAACGTTTGACTCCATTTCGATTAAAATGGTCCGATCATAGAGTGAATAAATGGAGGGACCTCCCCTATGGCGCGAGGGGCTGCACCCTTCCAGGCGCGGCCGTCATCTCACTGAAGTCGCACGAGCAGAGTTCATAGCAGGCACACGGAGAGGGGGAGGGCAAAGAGGCTATATGCTTGGGGACCTCCACGCCGGGACCCAACCAATCACGCTATTCATTCCCACATGTGAGATCGTCTCAAGATTGCGGAAGTACTTGTAACTCTTGAGGCAGCAAAGGCCTCTCCGGAGATATCTATATGCACTCTATGGGTCCGATTCTAATATGTGGTAATGTGTGTAATCAGTATGCCAAAAACGTATTTGTCATGCAATTAAAGCAGACCCTCATCATTTAATCGAAAGGAAGAAAGTCTGAGTTTTTCATTTATTTTCAACTCGAGATACAGGTTGAGTGAAAATTAGCATAATTTTATAAGGTTTGCAGAATATTTGTGCTCTATTTGAGCCATTTGCTGCTTTATCTCTTATTATGTTTTAAAGTTTCATTCAGTAATAGTCAGTAATTACTCAGTAATCATTTTTCTTCGGCATGATATGTGCTTACTTCAGACAGCCATGTTTCGACGAAGTACGATCAAGCTTCAGAAAGATTATCGTTAAAGAAACGAGACATGTACAGAATATGCAAAAGTAAAATTTCCGCACTCAGCCGAATCAACACGAATGGAATTTTCCCGCGAGGAATTTCATCGTCCAACAAATGGAATGTTTTTTTTTTTAACGGGATATTTCCCACGAGTATGTTTATATTGTGATATGGATATTATGTTGTGCATAAACACTGATAATTAGATTGTATATCGACTCTGAGTTGAATGTTCTTGGCAGCTGGCGTCTTTATACTTCGAACTATGGCAATATACGGAGGCCGAACTGCAAATTCCGTCTGTCCTTGGACTCCAAAACTTCATGACTGAAATTATCTATAATGAAGAGGCGATGTAGCCAGGAGGCTTTTTTACTAGCTGATGGAACGTTCTTCCTCGTCTTCACGTTCGTGAATTCTGACGGGGACGCCTGGTTCACTGCCTACGAGGTGGCCACGGAAACGGGTCTCGTCATCAACGATTTCTATGCGACTTGCACGCTTGGCGTTGGAGTTTCTCTCGTCGAAAGGGGCTTGAACCAGCCCGAGTGAGTCTCTCCCTATCACTTGCATGGCAGTTTTAGAAGACCTCACTTCTAAGGGCATTCATCTTTCTCGCAGCACTACATTTACATCGTACGATGAGCTGACGTATGCAATGAAGCATGGATATCAAGTCACGCTCACAGTAGACGCCACTGCTTGGTGAAAGTTCCCTGCCATCTCAGGTTGTCATCGAGGGTGGATCCACTTACTTCCAGTACTACTTCGTGCCAGGTCCGAATCCTCATGTTATACCCATTCATGCTGATGAGGAAAAGCGATGACACGACTCCTTCCGATACAGACGAGGCAGGAAACGAGATTCTCATCGTAGAATCGCCCGCCCTGTCGCTAAGCGCGGTCGAGGGCCAGACGGTTTACACAGTCACAAGGGTCATCGTTCATTCGAATGGAACCGCCTTCATATCGTCCAATCACTACAACACCCAGACCTGGGAGGACGAATATCCTTATCCCGAAGGATTCCTGTGCGTCTTCGCGGAATCCGTCAACTTTCACTACGCCAGTGGTTCGCCTCCTGTTTAATTTCAACCACCTTCTTACTTCGTACTATTAATTAGTAATTAATTAGTATTCGTACTACTTAATTCCTGTCAATTCTACATGGAGCATAATTGGTAGTATGACAGTCGACAGAGGAAGGTGTTCAGTATGATTTGATGAAACAGATCAGCACATTTTAGATTAATTAAAATGTGTACATATTTTCGAGTATGCATCTATCTCCTACTCTTCCTGGACTGGCGACTACCGCAAGGACTTTGTGAAGTGTGGAAACTACTCATTTTTCCGGTCACGCAACAATATTCGCTTTGTCTTCGAGAAGGCCTCAAAACGGACAAATAAATGTTAAATTTACACCAAGAACAGAGGGGAAAGGACTTAGCATCAGCGATAAATCAGTGGACCCGGCTTTGCTCCACAGGCAGGACAAGCCGTCAATATGACCACTAATGACAATGGAAAGGCGATGTTCACAAACAAGACATTGCAATGATTTAATCCAAATTAAAAGATTAAAGGAAAAGGAAGACTAAGATGACTACGAGGAGATGACGACCTCTATGTAATAGAACTGAGAACTCCAGTCACTGGGAGAGCACTGGGACACTGGGAGAGCACACCACTTTCAACTATTGAAATGCCGAAGGGCAGCCTTCTCCAAACCCAGTCGATGCGGAGACAGAGCCAGGCTCGAAGGACAGAGCACGAGAGACTGACGGAGGGAAGAAGGGAGGCGGGACAGGAAGAATCGCGCCAAACACGGGATAGACAGCTGCGCGGGAACATCCCTGTCGTGGGCCATAGCCCATGTATGACCGCGGGTCACAACAGAGCACCGCGGGAGCTCCACAACTCTACTTTGATCTTATTCGAGTTTTCTTTGATTTTCGGCAAAGCGACAGTTTGATATCAATGAGTTAATTACTTGTTTATCCGAAGTCATCACGAGAAAGTAAATCACCGACAACAATTTTTTCCTGAAATTTAAGAATATTTCAGCTGATGAATAATCGAAAAATTATTCGAATATATTTCCAAAATCCTTAATCCTTAATCCTCAATCCTCAAAATCCTTAATAAAATCCTTAAGAAACAAAAATTGTATGGGATCCAAAGCGATCAAACTAGATTTCGAAGCTTGAGAATCGGCACGAATCTATAAGTATTCAGTGCCTTTCCGTCGGGTTTTTATGAGAACCATTAGTACTCACAGTATTTGCTGATGCTAGACCAAATAACTGAAACCGTTAAACACGGATCTTAATCATCACAATATCCGAAACCTTAAGACGTATCATTCGCACAAATTTTCGCGTTTCATATTGAGTCAATGAGGGAAAAGAGGGCCGCCCACGATATGGTATTTGCATGATCCCTGCGCGGAACGAACACACAGACGAAATTGCTTTGTACACTCCTGATGCTTTTAATAGCTCTTAGTTACTTTTAGGTAACTGAATCTTTTAGGTAGCTTCTACCGTTCGCCGAACTGGACGCCGCCCTTGGGATGGACCTCGGGGTGAACGTGGACCTCGCCTCCTGCACGACTCCCGGCGGGACCCAGCCCGCCGTTTCAGCGAGTCCCGCGCCGTCTTCAGAGGCGCAATCTCATTATTCTCCCGTCTGTGTCGGAAGGGTCGAATCAGTCAACTTCGCGATGAAACCAATTGGCCGTGAATGGCTAACAGTCCACGATTGAATCGCAGAACCGACCTCTTTCCTTTTCCCTTCGGTCTTGTTGTCATGTTGGCCAGAGCATCAAAATGTTGCTTATTCCAGTCTTGGTTAGATTTTTAGTTTGGAGCGATTTTTAAGCGATAAAAAGTGGTAAGGGAGAAAATTTCAAAGTATAACAAAAGCCAATTATTTATCTCTTGTGTCCTAGTGCCTCTTTCGCCAAGTATGCGCAAAGTTTAGACCGTGAGCAAACCGAGACACAAACTCATTTTGAAATACCCCGATGAGCTAATTCCTGCCGGACATTCAGTTTGCCGGAGCCAAGGTGGTACCTTGGATTCGAGATGGGACCGGAGATGAGCCAGTCATCTACTTCTCTCAGTCCATCGCAGACGGCGACTCAAATCCTCTTCACTCGATGAATTTTCATCCTTCGTATATCTCAATGGCTTTTATTATTCATAATAGTCGCTGGAAACTTGGTCGTGGAAGAATTCTCCGTGACCACAGACGACAGGCTCCACGATAAGATTACCATCTTCGACCCATTGACTCCTGGTAACTCAAGCGTTACCATTTTCGATTGCACAATGGTCGACGGAGTCGAATTCTCTGCCCCCGCCTATGACTTGTGAGTCCTCTGATGTGTCGTCTCATGATGACAAATCAGAGGTTTGATGAAGTCATCAGAGGTTTGATGAAGTCATCAGAGGTTTGATGAAGTCATCAGAGGTTTGATGAAGTCATCAGAGGTTTGATGAAGAAATGCGTTGGGTTCATTATCCACAACCGTAGTGTGGAGTTGACGGATTTCTCGTCGCTCCTCGAGGCGCAACTGAGTGGATCGAAACTGATGACAAAGATCGACTTCGGTGAATGCTTGGACCCGACCGGCCAAGTCGACACCGCCGGTGTCACAGCCGGCGCATACCTCCAAGACCTCCTGGTCCTCGGTCCCGACAGTGAGTCCATCGCTCGAGCGCGCTGAAGGAGGTTCCCCGACCTTCCGTTCTCTCTAGCTGCACGAGCCAGGCCTTTCGGGTCGGCGTTCGGCGTGAACGGCGATCCGATCGGCGGCGTGGCTTACGAGTCATTCGGGGTGACGGTCGACGCCATCGACAACGCCATCGTCATCCCAGTATACTGGCGGATCAATGAAAACGGGGAATGGGGTAACGACTTTGGTGACACCATCTTCGAATGCACCCTCGGTGGGGGTGTCGCAGTCTTCGAGGAGTCTGAGATGAGAATAAAATCCGACTGATTCATTCCCCTTCACCCAAGAACCCTTGATTTTTTAGTATAACCAAAGCACGAAACTTCAATTAAAGGTTTAAGGTCTGCCCGATGCAAGCAGAGGAGTCTTCTGACGATATCGGCTTTGGCAAAAACGGGCCGTTGGATGTAAAGCAGGGAATGATGTCTCGCATGATGAGGAATCGTACGCCACTCTTCCAAAGAGGATGAATTTTTCTTTTGGAGATGAACTCTAACAAGTAAATGTGCAGCATAGCGACAAAAAGATGAGACGAAATCAAACCAAACCTACTGACGGTCCGACTTCTGGAGGAATGACTGGTGTTTAGTCCAGGTCTAGGTGCTGTCCGGGCAACAGTAAAGAAATTTGTATCAGGAAGTTCATTCAATTTTAAAAATTACCTTTTTCACTCCTGACTTTGATGATGAAAAAAACTGCATATCCGTGGGATGTCCCGATGTCCCCAGGACAGTTATTTAGTTTGTAAGATTTATATAAAAAAAAAAACAAAAAAAAACAGGACCGACTGTGTTATGGACAAGAGCGAAATAGAATCAACATATTTAAATATAGACAGTAAAATGCTTAATGGGAGCGGGGAAGCGCGAAAGTTCGCAATCACGAAAAATGCGAATGGCACGCATTCAAGCATAAGGTAAATCCACGACTTCAAAAGTGAACTTAATCTTCTTTGCTTCTAATGATCCAAATCAACAACAATAACAACAATAACAACTTCCTGTTTTGAGCGTATCCAAATGCTGATTCAACCGAGGTCGTTATTGAAAGCTTGAAATGTCCATTAATTAAATGCTCAAAACATTGAATGAATTCTCATATTTCGAATTCACATTTTGTCGAAGATAATTATTTTCAGTGAAAGCTGGTACTCGTCGAAAAGTCGAAATTTAGAAGAAAAAAATATTTGTGTGAAAGAAAACAATTTTTTCATGCCTTGAATTTGACTATAAAATATTATAAATTTATATATTCTAATATATATACCCATTCGGCACAATAACGTTGTGTCAACGGTGAATTGTCATAGTACCTCCTCCCTATTCCAGAGTCTGAATGAGCTTTGATTTTTGGGATGAAAATGAGTATGGACTCGATAACTCCATGGATGGTCTCCAAGTGGTATGGTACTAGCAGTACTCTACCGAGTACAATATCCCACGTAAAGGACCCTCAGAGTTTTATTTCCTCTACTGAATCAGAACTCAAATTGAGTACTCGATCCTCTCGGTCCAGTAGAGGAAAACAACCACGCGAGCATGGTTTTCATACTCTATCCATCATGGACGAGCCTGGGTAAGGGCGCGTGCCATGTGGAGATTTACGAAAATTGAGCGTGTCTCATCGGACCCACTAGCCAGAAGTACTTTGGATTTCCTTCCGCTTGATTACCTCCTTAAACATGTCTATCTAGAAATTCCTATACATTCCCCTATGCTGTAAATGGGAAAGATCGGATGCTGGATGAAAAATGCAAGTGTAAGAATTGCCGAATCGGCGGTTAGGTGCCATCTCGCGTCGATTCGTAGAACCTATTTTCTCTTGATATAATGTGGAAAAATCCACGTAAAAATAACATTGAGAAATATTATTATAAAAAAAATTGTTCCTAATAGCCTCTGAACGACTTCCCTATTTCACGAGTAGTCACCAAATGCTGAAAATACGGTTAATTGTGAATAGCTAGAATTTCATCGGTGTTGATTTTTCGTCGAATTCTCAACTTCAACCAAGTCTCAATGTTTCAACCTATTCTCAATGTTGATACAACGTTGTTGTGCCGAAAGGGTATATATTGCACATATGAAAATAAAAATCACAAGAAAGCCCTCTCAAGAGAGACACAATACCCCTCATATGGTCATATGGTAAACGATATTCTGGTGGGAAGATAAACATGTGTGAAAGGAAACGATTACGACATCGGTTTCTCTCCCCATGACGTAAAAGAAGGGAATCCCCATCCAGGCTGCGCTTGGAATGCGTTGAGGTAGCCATGCTTGGACACCTCCTCTGTAGCGCGCTGCCTTCCTCTAGCCATCCTCGCCCAAGGACTGGCGCTTCATCCAGGGAACCCGTTGAAAATAAGTATGGAAAGTCACTACATGATTTTAAACTTTACTAACTTTTGAAATTTGTGGAATAGAACCATTGTTCTATTCCACAGTTCAAAAAGAAGATAATTCCATTTGAATTTATGATTTCGTTTGTTTGTTTGCTTGCAGTAACACTACAAGAGGCCGAAATAAAATCTTCGACACCATGCACAATTAGCTACCGTGACACTGGTTTCACGTTTTTTCTCCCAACAAAACGCAAATTTTCTTGAACTCGCTGAATGAGTGCTAGAAGCTACCACCGTAAGGAGCAGTCGAAAATTGAAAAAAAAAAATGCTCAAGTTTCTCTCATCGTGTCTTCACAAGAAACGCTTCGATCCCTTTTGAATCCCCTAAATTTAGTGAGTGAACGCAGGGCTCGTATTTTTCGGAACTTCGTCCTCCTTCACCTCAAATACACTCTAAGGCAGGCAGTCAGCGATGAACGCGCATCACGTGACGCAGTTCCGATGAGAAGAGGAACACATGCGAGAGAAAATGGGCCGGCAACGATGATGACATCGCAATGAAGCCATCGAAGGGAATCCCGATCCAGGCTGCATTCGTGAAGCGTTGAGGTCACCATGCTCCGACACCTCCTCTGCCTCGCCGCCTTCCTCCCGGCCATCCTCTCCCAAGGTTTGCCGCTTCATCCAGGGAATCTCTTCAAATTTGAATTCACTACCTGCCTCAGCTCGCGTCTGCAAACATCATGCTTTTCACCGAAACCAAACGACTCAGTAAACTTGGCATTCGGCTGCGTTCCGTCTCGAATCTTCCATTCAAAAGCCAATTCAAAAGCGTGCACGTCGGCAGAACCATAATGAAGGAATTGATGGAATTGACTCCATTCGCTTTGAAGAACTCCTAAAACTTATTTTCCCTCCTGTCTCTTTCAACTCACAACATTCACAATAACAACCAAAATGTTGAGGCGTCATACAGTAAACCACGAAATCGAAGAAAAACCCGCAGATGCACCATGTTCGCCAAGCCACCAACCCCATTCCCCATTCTGTATCGATGCCAGGAGAATCGCTGGAGAGCTTCGAGGACTTGGTCGCGGCGCTTAGGGCTGGTCATCGCGTCCAAGCAAATTTCAACAGAGACTTCTGCGAAGAGTCCAACTATCCTTCACAAAGGGTGAGACACTTTTTTCATTCAGTCTGCCTCGCGTTATTTTGCCCCACCCCTTTCTTTTCATCCGTTTTTTGCGAAATAATTACATTTGAAGGGATAGGATAATTTTCAAGAATCCTTGAGACTGCTCCTTAACGTGTCAGATGACGTTTTCATCGTTGGGTCTATTGGAAATCAATGTAGAAAATCATGTCGTCCCTTCTAAATAGGACATGTTTGTTGACTTCTCCCGATCGGACAATTTCCCAAGCCTAGAGCCGCTGAATCGTCTAAATTGTCCTATTACGGCCCTTCCAACAACTCAGACTCGATCGCGATTCCTCTGTCGCGGTAGCTAAACTCGGCGGGTTTCCGCGGTTTCGACGTCGCTCGAGATCCAAATGAAAGGACGGGAGATTTCTTAAGTATTTTTTTTCGAGAAATGTCCCACTCTTTAATAATCCAGCTAAATGTCGATGTAATATGGCTACGAACTTTTCGAAATCCGAAAGGAAATTCGAAATTTTGGATTTCTTTTGACACAATTTCTTTGCTTCATATTTTTTTCAGCGGACATTCGAATCCGCGTTTTCGCCTCATTCACTCAGTTCAACGAGCCATCAATAGTTTGTAGTCGGCACATACATAAGCCATATCTCAGCCATCAAGAGCATACGGTTGGCTTATTAGTGGCTAAAGCCAGTGTCTGTGAAGGCAGATGGATCGACCGCACAGCACGCCATGGCGCCAATTAGCTAGAAACATCCTCCTTTTAACCTCCTGGTCGGAAATGTCTGGGGTATCCCCAGGCTGGGTCACCTCTTCAGAAAATATGTCGAGGAAGATCAACGTTGTGATCTATAAGGGAAACCATTAGAAACAGCGCCTAATCTACTGGCGACACCTCGCCCCAGTTTCGGGATCCTTGTTAACCACACCTCTTAGTCAATGGGTCAACAGCTGCTGCAACCACGTGCTGTCCCGTAAAGCTACGCTTTTTTGGGAGAGCTGTGACTTGGCCGGTTCATTTATGCGCCGAAGATGAGATAACCGCTCAAGCTGAGGTTGGATTGATAGCTGTGGATAGATCGCGATCAGAGGAAGGGAAATGAGGCAAGTAAGAGATTTCTATTCAGATCTCCAAATGGCCCGATCAGCATTGGTCACAAAATCACATTAAATTTTTTTTTTTATTCTTTGAACTGAATCGGGAGGGTCAGCCAATAGCGAGAAACAAGCGGCAGCACGAGTGCATGCTAAACGCAATTGCCAAAAGTGTTTGAGGAATAGCCTCCATTCCTGTGACTTCATCAGTTTTCTTGGCATGCAAAGTAAGCCATGCCACAGAGTGTGTCACTTAATCAAGAAGGAGTCAATTTAGCAGGTTAGTAAAGATCTGGGGATTTCGTTCGGCATAATTTCTCGGTTTCATCTTTTTATATGGAGCAGTTGCCGTGCGGAATCACGCCTAATTAATATTAAATTGTTTCCGCAACATCCTCAAGATTGATATGATGTCATACGTAGAAGAAATGCGAAATAATTTCTCGTTGGTGTGCAGGTGGTGTCGGTGCAATTCAGCAGATGGCAATACACCGAGGTGGAACTGCAAGTTCCGGCCGTCGTCGCCGTCCAGCCGCCGATCATGAGTGAGAAATCCCGCGTTCGCCAGCCGCGATTCATCCGCGAACGTGCAGTCGGACGGGTATCGATTTTTTTCCCAGTCGACGGCTGGTTTTCGCTGATCTTCTCGTACGTGGACGCCGACGGTCTTGCCATATTGGAAGAATACACGATTTCCGCGGAAACGGGCGCCGTCGTCAGCAATAACTTCATGTCCTGCACGACCGGCGTCGGAACCTTTTTCCTCGAGAAGGGCAACCGACAGCCCGAGTGAGTTCCCCCCCCCCCCCCCCCCCCACCTCCCACTAGGTCTCATGCTATTCAAGGCGAGGTATATAGAGAAACGAGCAGCGTGCTTCCTCCTATCTCATGTCTCTCCGCATCTTCCACGAATAAGCAAGGTCCAGATCGACATCGGCTGAATGAGCCGATAACATCGTTATCGGCTCATTCATTCAGCCATCAGAAGCATACGGTTGGCTTATTAGTGGCTAAAGCCGGCCTGTCATTGTCTGTCGAGGCAGATGGATCGACCGCACAGCACGCCATCGCGCCAATTAGATAGAAGCATCCTCCTCCTAACCTCCTGGTCGGAAATGTCTGGGGTATCCCCAGGCTGGGTCACCTCTTCTGATAATATGTCGAGGAAGATCAACGTTGTGATCTATATGGGAAGCCATTAGAAACAGAGCCGAATCCAAAGAGGAACTTGTTCCAATCGAAGCAGGGAGGGACTTGCTACTGGGAGTACTAAGGCTACATCTCGCCCCAGTTTCGGGATACTTGTTAACCATATGTCTCCTTACTTAATGGGCCAAGAGCCACTACAACTATGTCCAGTGAAAGGACGATGTTTTCGAGAGCTGTGATTTGGCCGGTTCAATTATGTGCCGAAAACGAGATAGCCTATCGTGCTAAGGGGTTGGATGGATAGCAATGGATAGATCGCGATCTGTGGAAGGGAAGGAGGCAATTAAGAGATTTCTATTCATATCTCCAAATGGGCCGATTAGCATTGAACTGAATTAGGAGGGTGAGCCAATGACGAGAAACAACCGGAGACACTAGCACATGAAAAACGCAATACCCCAAAGGAATTTGAGGAATAGCCTCCATTCCTGTGACTTCATCCGTTTTCTTGACATACAAAGCGAGCCATGTCGCATAGTGTGCCACTCAATCAAGGTGTACATAAGCAGATTAGTAAAGCACTACACCTTCTGGAATCAGGGCCATGTAGTATAGCTGCCTTCATGGGAGCGAGATTGAGACCATTCTGTAATATTTTGGCCGACATTCGCCACCTGTAATTGTCGGTAAATTACGACAAATTACACAAATATGTAAAATCCCAAGAAAGTGTTTACAAATGCACTCCTTACCTTCAAATGTGTCTAGTATATGCAAGCAAGTACCCAGAGGCAAAAACAGGTGCATATAGGCTGATATCTCGGGCGTTGCAGTTAAAGGCTTAATCAAGGAGTTGGATGATGTCGGGAAAGTAGGTCAGAGAAAAATTGAATCCTTGGGGGAGCAGAAATCCGAGGAGGCGATGGAATCCGTAGGCAAAACATGAGAGGTTATCTCCTTAGGCCAAATGACTTTAACCCTTTGGACTTCCTCCACTGCAATAAAGGGGAATCAATTCTTCCTCAGATTAAGATTGACAATGTGTTCTCGCAAAAAAAAATTACATAAAAAAAACTGGCTACTTTACGAGAATCCATGAAGCAGCTCTTACAAGCCAAATGGCCTTTACATCGAGAAGTCAATTGGAAATTACTGTAGGAAATCTCGTCGCATCTAAATAGGGATCGTACGACGGTAGTTGCGTTCTCTCAATCAGAAAATTTCCGTCACCTATAGTCGCTGAATCGTACGACCGGCATTAATCACTGAGATCTCTTTCATTTCTTTTTTAACTCTTTCAACTTAATCAGGATGGTCAACCAATAACGAGAAACAACCGGAACCACTAGTACATGAAAAACACAATTGGCAAATAATATGAGAAATAGCCTCCCTTGCTGTGACTTCATCCGTTTTCTTGGCCTACAAAGTGAGCCATTTCGCAGAGTGTGCCACATAATCGAAAAGGTGTACATCAGCAGGTTAGTAAAGCACTGCAATCAGGGCTACGTGGAATAGCTGCCTTCATGGTAGCGAGATTGAGACCATTCTGTAACATTTTCGCCGACATTCGCCGCCTGTGTGTGATTTTCCTCTCTCTTCAGCACTGCTTTGACATCGTACGACGAAGTCATGGCGGCCCTCACGGAAGGCCGTCAACTGACGCTCACGGCCAAGGCCACCGACTGCGAACATCCCCTGCCCCCCGAGGTCATCCTCGCCGAGGGCGGAACCACCTCCTACCAGTGGGTCGTCCCCCCAGGTCCGCACTCCTTCGTCCTTCCGCTCGCGACGGCGACGGCACTCACTTCCTCCCGTTGCAGACGAGACGGGAGAGGCGTTTCTCGCCGTGGAATGGCCTGGCCTCTCGCTCAGCGCGGTTGAGGGTCAGACGGTTTACACGGTGAGCAGGGTCCTCCTCTCGAAGGATGGATCCGTCTTCGTCGCCGGCAATTACTTCAATACTCTCACCTGGGAGGACGAATATCCTTATCCTCAAGGTTTTCAGTGCGTCCTCGGAGAGTCCATCGACTTTCACTACGCCTCAGGTAGATCAATTTCGAGAGCGATCCCACACGATTCTTACCGTGTTCGGCGCCAAAAAATATTTCAAAAATTCACATTTTTCAGGCGACACATACGACTCCTACGCGACCTCCGCCGAAGTCGACGCCGCCCTCTTGGCCGGGAAGGACCTCCAGGCCGCCGTGGACGTCACCGCGTGCACTTCGCCCAACGGGACTCTCTCCCCGCTTCTGGCGAGTCACGCTGGATCTTCCTGACCGTATTTTTATATTGTCGCTTCCGGTTTCTACTTCATGTGTTCATTTCGTCAGCATTGGACGATCACTGTTTAGAAGTTTTCGAGACGCCAATAACCCTGAAATTAAATTCCAATCCTTAGACACCGACATAGCCCAATTCTTCGCAAAGAAAGAAATAACAAGAAATGAGTTTTCTTAGGGCGAAGAGTACGTTATTTTCTATATTTCTCGCTGTTCGCACGAAGTGAATGCTTAATGCCTAATGGATAATTCGATAACGCAAAGTCTTGAGAATTTTGAACGGACCGTTCAGTACGCCGGAGCGAAGGTGACGGGTTGGCTGCGAGAGGAGACGGGGGAAATGCCTGGCATATTCTTCTACGAATCCATCGCCGACCGTGAGATTTCTTTCCACTGGATCGATCGATTGCACGCCTTCGACCTAAAAGGGTTTTCACACCGATCGCAGTCGCAGGGATCATGACCGTGTTCGAATTCCACGTGGCCGACGACGACGTGCTGCACGTGAGAGGCACGACGTTCGACCCGCTCGACCCGGGCGTGGTCCTCGCCGAGGAGATTCTCCAGTGCAGGCTCGGTGGAGCTGCAAGATTTTACGCCGCCGCCTATGACCGGTGAGGCATCTCGAGTTTTTCCAGCCGCGGGGAGAATGCCTCGTGCAGCGTCTCGTCGCTGTAGGGTCGAGTTGATGGATTACGAGTCGGTCGTCGAGGCACAAACGAGGGGAGGGAAATTGGCGGTCCAGATCGACTTCGGTGGATGCGTCGACTGGACCGGTGGAGTGAACCTGACCGGCGTCATGACCGGCGCTTACCTCCACGACCTCTTCGATTTCGTCCCAGAGGGTGAGCCGTCGTCCATTTTCACTTCGCTCCTTTCTCCAACGATGGAGGAAATCGCTCTTGTTTCAGGCATGACAGCGGCGCTGCTCGGATCCGCTCACGCCCTGAAGAGCGACCCAGCGAGCGGCGTGGCCTACGAGTCCTTCGATGTGTTCGTCTTCGAAAGCGGGAATCCCATGGTCATTCCAGGCTACTGGCGAATCGACGAAAGCGGCGATTGGGGCAACGACTTCGGCGCCGCGTTCATGGACTGCCCATTCGGGAGGGGCGTCAGGATCTTCCAAGAAGTCTGAGACACCAATAAAATCAGTCTAATTCCTTCCTTAATCTTGCATGTTTCATTGCAATCGATCATTTTCTCTTTCTTGACGATATCTTCGGAGAAGGGAGCCAAACACACGAATGCTTAGCAATATCCAACACATCTTATAGGATAATGTGAGTCAACACTTACCGCAACGCGACTTTTCACATTTTTCCTATTGCCTTTATCTGCTGGGTATTTTTCACATTATTCTGTTCCC